TCACATAATATATTAAATATGGACCCTGATTAAGCTCTATGACTGCAGTTAGTTATTTAGTAGTTAGTAACATAGTTAGCACTAAATTATAATCATATAAAAATCCTCACATCCCGCTTTCACTAGCACTCCATTGACAATTTGGCAGTTCTCCTCTTCACACACAGCGCAAGCAATGAATGTGTCTGTGTCTGGTAGACTAGGGATGATTACACCATACGTCCTCTTACTCTCCTGGTAAGAGAGATTGCTGGGGGCAAAATGGTTGTTAATTTTCCATGCCACGTGAAAGTCTTTGCCTTTGGTCAGCGGGCAGTCATCCTCGATGGAGCAGGACACTGTCACGGGTGAACCAGCGAGCACCACTGAAGCAGGAGTGTGAATCTTAGCACATGATGACCCTTGAATCACTGCAGATAATAAATGTGCGGGATTTTAACATCAAGAATCAATGATTTCATTCAGCGAAAGAAATTGGGCTCTAATAATAAACTAGCTAGCAACACATCAAACCACTACACAAGTCTCGTGACTTAGCATTGCGTGACATATTCCCAACAAAAACCTCCAACAAACCTGTTTCAAAATGTGTGGGTAATACTTGCGTGACATCAGAAAAAAACATTAACTGCTTTGTCTGAACAGTATATCTATATCAATAGACAGATAGCTAGACAGACAGACAGACAGACAGACAGATAGATAGATAGATAGATATATAGATAGCTAGATAGATAGATAGCTAGACAGACAGACAGACAGATAGACAGATAGATAGATAGATAGATAGATAGATAGATAGATATATAGATAGTTAGATATATAGCTAGACAGACAGACAGATAGATAGATAGATAGATAGATAGATAGATAGATAGATAGATAGATAGATAGATAGATAGATAGATAGATAGAATCGTATAATGAGATTCGTAATAATGTTGTTTCACCTTTTATCAATGCATTAAAAAATATCCACAGCACAAGCACAAGCCAGACTGATGCCATGGTTATGACGACTGAAAAAAAAGAAGAAGTAGTGAAATCTTGTTACCATTTCAGAAAAATTACAAGTCTTAAAATGACAAAACCTTCGGTTTCTAATATGCGATCTGAAACTTTGTAAAAAGTTTATAAAAGTTATAAAAAGTTAATATAAAAGTTATAGGAAAACTAGAAGACCATTTTCATTCAAAACAGAGAAATTACAAAGTAATATAACAATAGCACACACACACAAAAACATTATAATGCTCTATTATTGACAAATAATGTCCAATTGAAATAATTAATTCAGAAACGTAATTCAAGTTTGATTTAAATATTTTCTTATATATTCATATTCGAAAATACACAAACTGTTTATAAATGACTTGTTGATAACAGTTATTCTGAAGTGTTTATTCAATTTAAGGTGAAAACATAAACATGAATAAAATACATACTTTAACGTGTTCTGCATCTGTAGGTTCTCTGGGTCACATTTAAACTCCTGTGTAATTACTGCCCAGTGAGGTCTGGTGCATAGTTGAGCTTTTCTTTAAAAAAAAAAATCCAGCTGCTGTTCTGAAAACGATTTCTCTGCTCTGACTAAATAGTCACTGCTGTCAGTCCTTCCGTGGCATTTCGTTCTTATACCATCCTGAACCACACGTACAAACTGAAGCAGGAAATGTCAAACTCTTGTGATACCCATGTACAATGGTGTCTGTTTCTGCTCACAATTTTTACTCTTACTTATGAGGAAACTAACTATTTGAGTGTATTTAATACAATTATTTGTGGAAAAAATAAAAATTTGAATAAGCATTGATTGATTAATCAAAGAACACAGTGCTCTTTTTTAAGTAACTATTTTTAATTTGACACTATTTAAAAACATGGCACTCATGATTGCAAGATAATGACAAAAATTACATATGTACATAGACTAATTTAAAATAAAATTGCACATATAGGCTGAACACGTTCTGTGAGAAAACACCTTAAAGCGATAGTTCACCAAAAAAATGTTGTTATTAATTACTCACCCTCATGTTGTTCCAAACCCGTAAGACCTTTGTTCACCTCGGTGCTTCAGGGCTCAGTGAGCTCCGACGAGCGAAATTCCCAGCTGCCGCCCGGCAACGGTACGGCACGGGAGAGCTCGCCCCCTCAAGTGAGGGTGCTACAGCAGTCAGGTCGGTCGTTCCCTGCCGGTCATCCGCTTCAGGGCACCGAACTGGCTCCTCTAATAATACCAGACGCCAGCCTCAAGAGGCTGGTTCCCTTAGTAGATTTTCTGGTAGCGTGGAAACTTCTACCAAATATCTCAAAATGGGTCCTGCAGATTGTAGAGAAAGGTGACAGAATCCAGTTCGGTTCTTGTCCGCCTCGTTTCAACGGGGTCATCCCCACACTAGTGGGCCCCCGAGCAGGCTCTGGTAATGGAACAAGAAGTAGATACTCTCTTGAGGAAGGGGGCCATAGAACGTGTTCCTCCTCTCGAGAGAGCGTCCGGGTAACAGTAACATTATGTTATTGAATCTAAGCAAATTTAGAGAATGCTAGACCACAGATGCTGAAAAACGTCTCTAGGTTACGTATGTAACCATGGTTCCCCGAGGGAACGAGACGCTGCGTCGAGTCGCTTTGGGAACGCCCTTGCGTGACCGCGTTCTGAAGCACGTGTCAAATCCGTCCAATGGAGTAGCGAGACGTCACGAGCAGGGTGACGTAAGCACCAGAAAGCATAAAGGCACATCCGGCCGGGCGCAAACCAGCTTCTGCTCTTCAGTAGCGCTCTGTGTATGTGTCTGTCTATTTACTGTTGTCTGTCCGCACAAGCACTCATATATATAAAACAATGAGAAAGTCTATGGCGAGCGAACAGCATTACAAACGCTGTGTTTCTCCCTGCCCACGATATCTGGCGGCGGGGGATACACACGATTTTTGTGTGTCGTTTGTTTAGGAGCGGAGCATGCACGGTCAGCTTTTCAGCAGCTGATTGTCATCACTGCGAGCTCTCGCCTGGCTGTGTTTGATGAGAGCAGCCAGGCTCGCGATCCCGCTGGCAGCGGTCCCACTGTTGCCGAGGCACAGCGCAG